GGAATTCTCATTCTTCCAAATACTGTCCATATTCGCTATGATCCACACAGTCAGATGTTCTTGGATAGTCAATAATGCACAAGTAAATATCTCTGATATTCTAAGTACCCATGGAAACAAAAGTCAGTAATAAATCTTATGTCCTATTAGTGGGGCAAATCTGCTAAACAAAAGATTTTTTTTTAAAGGATCTTGCTTGATCTGCGTATCCAGTTACTACATTTATTCATTTTTTAATTGTGATTTAAGTTAAAGTTTACAAATCATCTTGGCTTTTCATTCAGTCACTTAGACACATTTTGATGTTTGACATTAATTAGAATTCATTAATTACACTGGTCCATCCGTTACTGTATGTGGACTTGCTCTTCACACAACTCAATATGTTTTATTCCCCTCTCTCTCCCTTCTCTTCCTTAGTACCAGCTACACATTATTCTGTCGTTGGACACTTGGTTTATTTCCATCAGTTTGACATTGTAAATAATGCTACAGTAAACATGGGTGTGGATATATCAGTTTGTGTCGCAGTTCTTACTTCCTTCGCCTATTTATCTAATAGTTTAGCATATTTATCTAATATTGAGATTGCTGGATCAAATGTTATTTCTGTTTTCAATCCAAAATCCATTTACTTTTGAAAATATTTTAAGCCTACAAAACAATAAAAAATAAGTACAACGAACTCCTATATACACTTCATCTAACATTTCACTACATTTGTTTTTTCTTTCTAAATAAACCCATATTGTTGAACCATTTGAGATTCATTTTCAGGTTTAATATCCCTAAACAGGGCCCTCTAGTGACCTAGTTCATAGAGCATTATGTTGCTAACCCAAAAGTGGTACCTCTCTGATAGTTCAAATCCATCAGCTGCTCCACAGGAGAAAGATGAGAAATCTGTCTCTTCCCATCAGCTTCTGAAAAACCACCAGAAAGTCAGCTATGAGTTGATTCGAATTCAACAGCAATAAGTGAGTAACATCCCTAATTACTTCATGATTGTAAAAAGGGCCCCAGAGCACTTGCGCTCTTAACCTTTAAAGGGGGAGAATCACTCTCAGTATCAACAGAGCATGGCTTATTTCTTTGAGGTGGAGGTCAGACATACCTCTCTAAACTTTTTACCAGTTCTGATACCAGCTGTTCCTCCCAGTAGCACTCTAGTTCATTGTCAGGTTTGATAATGTGTTGCGTTAGTCATGTAAAACTCAGGAGCTGTAATCACAGTTTGGGGCTTAGTAAAGAAGCAACAGGTTACGTCAATCATCAGGAACAATTCAGGATGTAGCCCCTTTGGTCAGGATAGCTTCTTGGCTGTGCCCATAGTCAGTTTTCTCTCTGGCCTTTGAACCACTGACTGGCTTTTGGCAAGTCTTAGAAAGCTCTTTATCATCTCCAGTATGTGCCCAGGGCACCCCAATCTCAGGAACTCTCTGGCCTGAATTCAACCCACTCTGTTGCTCCAAGAGTCAGCAAATCATACTCTGCCAGTAAGTACCTGGAGACACCCTGACCAGGAAACCTGCTGCCCTAAGGTGCTCAGTGTGCTCACTCCAAGAGTTGGTTTATCACTGTAGCTTCAGGCTTGGCTCTCTCACTCCATAATTTGGTTTATCACTGTAGCTATCTCACACTGGTCTCCTGGCTTTGTCATTTCTCTGTGGCTACTTTTCACCATGTCCTGTGTTAGAGCTTGGTCTCTTAGGATTAGGAGGTTCTCAACACAGGGATCCTGGGTCCACTCCACTTTTATCTCTTGATAATAAATAATGAGGCATCCCCTTTATAGCCTCTGAGATGGCTCATTTTACATCTAGGAGGATGACAAAACTGACCAATCCCCTCATTAGCATTCCAAATGCTTTATTTGCATGGCCTCACAAGCATGCCCTGCATCTTAACTTGTATTATCAAGCTGTTAATGCTTTTGGTGAGCCACAATTACCTTACTTGCATAATCCCACCCAGTGGCTTGGTGAGTATGGTGAGAAAGGTCATATAAAAGCAATCCATTACACTGCATGATGTGTCTTTTTAAGAACAAGCACATTTTCTCACGTAAATACAGTACAATTGTGTAATTTAGAGAAGTTAACATTGATACAAGTTTCTCCTTGGAAGCTAGAATTTTGAAGCTTCCTCTCACATACTTTGGGCATGTGGCCAGGAGAGACCAGTCCTTGGAGAAGGACATCATGCTTGGAAGGGTAGAGAGCGCAGGAGAGCATGAGATGAGACTGATACAGTGACAGGGCAAGGGGGGTAGGTGTGTCGGATTCAGTGAGACTGGCTCAGGACAGGGCAGGCTTCAGAACTGTTGTATTTAGGGTCACTGTGAGTCGACAATGACTAGTTTGTTGTTGAAGTATAATTTATATACATGAAAGTACACAGTTATTGGGTTTTCAGCTTGGTGAATGATCAAATATTTTCAGTCCATTGAGGGTGACATCCTCTGTCATTATTTTTGTCCCTGATTTGACCAGTGGAAACATGATATACCTTTATCTTTCCAAGTATGTCCTCATTTCCAGCCACACCTGGTCCTTTCCCTGTTCTGGTTTGGGAATTGACTATTCTCCCAAGGTATCTTTTAGTGGAGATTTTTATTTACAAACCATTATCTGGACACTATATTTGTTCATTCTTATGAGATAGTAATGTTCCTGGCAGCTCAGTGGTTAAAGTGATTGACTACTAACCTAGAGGTTGGAAGACCTAATGCACCAACAGCTTAGCTGGAGAAAGATGTGGCAGTCTGCTTCACAGCATTGGAGCCCTCACAGGATTGGTTCTGTAGGGTCAGTATGAGTCTGTACCAAGTGGAAGACTGATTACTACCTTTCAGAGGTCAGAGGTAGAAAATACTTTTTCAATCCATCTTTTAGTCACGTCATACTTCGAATTTCTACCCAATATCAGAGCCCTTTTCCTATCCTACTATCCACCCCAAATCCCATAAAATCCATAGTCACACAGTAACTACATCAATATACTTAAAAACTTGCTAATTTTAAAAATAATTTTACTACAAACAAACCAAAATAAAGTTCAAAGATTTCTTTGCAGTACTTTTGTCTTGAGTTCTGGTATAAACTCAAAGTTTTCTGTTTAAAAAGTAACTTTTTTTCCATTTGTGTATGGTTGTGATCCCAAAGTGACATTCTGTTATACAAAGTGATACTGTTGGAAGACTGAATAAATAAAAGAAAGATTCTCACCACTGGGGCAATTGGCAGCATCAGTATAGATGGTGAAGAGATTGAGATAGTTAACAGTTTTAGTTTGCTTGGCTTAACAATCAACACTCTTGGTAACAGCAGCCAGGAAATCAAGAGATGAATTGCATTGTGAAAGTCAGCTGTGAGGGAGCTCTCCAGAGTACCGAAGAGCAATGATGTCAGGCTGGAGACTAAGGTACGCCTGATCCCTACTAAAGTCTTTGCAGTTGCGTGCTATATATGTTGGAGAGCTGGACAGTGGCTAGGGATGATAGAGAATTGATACCTTTGAGCTGTGTTGCTGGAGAAGAGTGTTGAATATACCATGGACTGCTAGGAGAACATAAAGATTTGCCCTGGAGAGGGTGAAGCCAGAATGCTTCTTGGAGTCAAGGATTCTGAAGCTTCTCTGGGCGTGTTGGAAGGAGGTCCTTTGAGAGGGACATCATGTTTTGGAGAGTGGAGGGACAGCGCAGGGGAGGAAGACCCTAGATGAGATGGGTCGATTCACTGATTGGGGCAGTGGGAGTAGTTGTGTCAGAGACAATGAGGTTGGCACAGGATAGAGCAGGGTTTAGGGCTCCTGTACATAGGGTTGGCTGAGTAGCAAGCGACTTGACAGCACATAACATTCATTCTGTGCCTTTTTTGCTCGGACATGCAGGAGTGGAGACTTGTTTTTATTGTTAGTTCAGCGCCTGGTGCCTAGATACTCAACAAATATTTGTTGAATGAGGAAGTGGATGTCAGGGCTGGGTGGTCCAACAGAAAGCTTTATTAAGTTGGTTGTTCCTGGCGGAAGTTCACAACCTAATGGTTATAGATGAGAACTTTTGGGGAGGATAGCTGGAAGCTTGGGAAGCTGTGTCACTCCAGAAGGTGGAGGCAAGGGTAATGGGAGCACTTCAAGGAAGTCAGGGCAGCTACAGAATGGAGGAAGTTCCTTCTGGTCCAGACACTGCACCATCCAAGTCTTGACCAAGTTGTCAAGTTGCATATGTCCCAGCATTTTTTGGACTAGAGCCTGCCATTTCCAAGCAGGTGATTTGGATCAGACTTGTAGTTTTTAAAAAGCCGAGTCCAGACAGGGATGCTGGAAAGAGATGTGGAAAAGATCTGCCCGAATCCAAGAACAAGGAACCCAGCAAAGAGCCTGTAGTTCCCGAGTCATGCTTCTTGGAGCAACCTCACTTCCGGGTTCCATCCCTGATTTCAACCCACTAGACAGCAAGCTCCTCCCCCCCACAGCTCGTGCAATGATTGGCTGGATCTGGAGACCCGGACCCACTGTCTGCGGCCGGCTCTGGCCATTGGTTCACGGGAAAGGGGCGGGGCCCGAAAGCTTTTTACCGGTGGAGGCTGAGGATACGGTGAGACCGGAGGAGAACCTCACGATTTGACGGCCGCCCAGTGGCTCCAGGCTCTCCCTTGTCCTCGTAAGTGACCCCGCGCGAGACCCCCGCCTCACCCGAGCGCTTGACAAAGTGCGCCTGCGCGGCAACAGCCGCCCTCCCTTGTGTCCCTTTCCCTTGTTCCTCGACTCCTTCATCCTTCCCTTCCCCTTCTTTCCCTTGCCCTGTCACCCCTCCCTCGCCCAAGACCCTTTAACTGCATCTCCCCCTCCTGATCCTTCCCGTGGCCCATCTCCACCCCCCCAAGACCCTGGCGCCCCAGCCGCCGGGGCTGCGCCGGGAGCCGCGATGTGCGTCCTCTCAGAGCCTGTGGGCTTCCCTGCCCTCACAGCCCTCCGTTTCCTCTATGCAGACTCCCGCCTCCTTCAGAATGACGCTGGACGTGGGGCCAGAGGATGAGCTGCCGGACTGGGCCGCGGCCAAGGAATTTTACCAAAAGTATGATCCTAAGGACATCATTGGCCGGTGAGTGCACCCCACTTCTAGGGGGCTGCCCACTGCCAGCAAGTCTATCCCAACTCATAGTGACCTCAAGGACAGAGAAGAGCTGCCCCTTAGTGTTTCCAAGGCTGTAAATCTCTACAGAAACATACTGTCACATCTCTTCTGCCTGACTGAGTGGTACCTTTTGAACCTCTGACCTTTCTGTGCTTTTTATTCACTGTGCCACCAAGGCCTCCGTGGAGGAGCTGTCTGTGGTCTTTTAGGTCAAGTCAACTAAGAGTCACAGTGACTCTGAACAACAGATGGAAACCTTGTCCTATATCATGCACCATCCTCCCGTCTCCAAGCGCAAGCCCACTTTCGTAGTCACTGTATCTGTACATCTTGTTGAATGTTGCCCTAAAGGAGAAGCCTCAGAGTCAGTGGGGACTATTTAGTGACTAGACTCTTAATGCTGGCCCACCTCTACTTTCACACAATTTCATCCATTTAGTTATGCTTTTAAAAAAAACACGTACCAGAAAGCTAACCATGGAGTAGGTGTGAATGGTGGAGGTGGAAAAGGTGCTGTCTGTGCCCTGGAGGTACTTCAGAATGTAGCCACTGAAAGAGACTTATCAAAACTGCTCAGTTGTGCGCCATCCTCCCCATCTTTGCTGTAGTCACTGTGTCAAGATATGTTATTGAGGGTCTTCCTCTTTTTAACTGATGCTCTGCATTCCCAAGCATGATGTCTTCTTCCAGGGACTGACTCCTCTTGACAACATTCCTAGAGTATGTGAGTCAAAGTCTTATCATCCTCACTTCAGAGGGCCTTCTGGCTGCAGAATCTACTTGTAGAGACAGACAGTACTTGGGGGGGGAGGGGCGAAATACCTATCCGTGGAAGTGCTAGGGGGAAATAAATAGGATGATGGAATTAGAGTAATTAGTGGACGTGGCTGAACATGGAGAGGCCTGGGAAGACTTCTCTGAGGGGTGGGTTGTTTTGGGTGCTGCGGGTTTTTTTTTAAATTTTATACTGCTTTGTATACATTGTTTTTCACACCGGATCCTTTCCATTTCCTCCACAGCCCACCCACCCATCAAATTGTGAGACTCTGACTCTGTGATTAACACCTCATTCCCCCCAATCCTCACCTCTCTGCCCCCCCTCACTTTGGATCCTCATCCTCGTTCTACAATGAATGGTCTTATTTGTACTTGTGGGACTTAATTCACTTAGCATAATGCTGTTCAGTCCCTTCCAAGTTAGGTAGTAGTTTACAAACGTATCACTCCTGCATGAGGAGAGGCTTTTGACCTGAGACATGAAGGATGAAAATGAGCCAGTCATGAGTTGGGGCAGAGGTTTTTTTTCCAGGCAAAGGGACCAACATGTGCATAGGCTCTGAAGCAGCAAAGGAGAGTGATTGGGACAAAGTGAAAATGGCAAAGGGAATGTAAGACAGGTGAATGCAGGTGAGAAAATAAAGTAGCAGCATATCAGATTTCATTTGTCATTTGAAGGGCAAGAAATTAACCCTTCTGTGCCTCAGTTCCTCAATTGTAAACTGAATAAAAGTTAAACCTACTTTTTTAAGTTGCTGTGAGGATGGACTGAGTTATTATGATACACTTAAAAGCTGGCACAATGCATGTGCGTTGTTTCTACATTTTAAAAGGATTAGCATGCATGAAGAAGGACTGAGTGCTATTCAGGAGTCAAAGCACAAGGAACCATTAAGGGAGATTGAGGAAACTGCCTTTTTAAAAATGGCTTGATAGCGTCTTTCCTCCTCCTTCCTCCATCCTGTTGAATATGGCAGCCTTTAGTCTCCATTATGTCATCTCATATTTTCAGGTCAAGAGATTCCTGACCAAGAAACAAAGGCAAAACTTCTCCATCCCAGATGTTGCTGTTATTGTTGTTAGGTGCTGTTGAGTTGAATACAACTCGTAATCTGAACCCTCTCCCATCCTGTGCCATCCTCACAATCTCTGACACTCTCAAACCCATTGCTACAGTCATTGTGTCACTCCATCTGGTTGAAGGTCTTCCTTTCTTTTGTCATCCCTCCACCTTCCTAAGCATGATATCCCTCTCCAAGGAATAGCCTCCTCTCATAGCAACTGCCCAAAGTATGTGAGACAAAGCTTTATCTTCTTTGTAGGTTTGATCCTGGAGGGCTTTGAACCTTACTTAGCCAGAGGGGTTTGAAAGACCAGAGAGAGGTTGTGGCATGGTCTATAGGAAATTGCACTGCTAATCCAAAGGCAGTGCCTGTCTGGCAGTTCAAATCCACCAGCTGCTCTGTGGGAGATCGCTGGGCAGTGCCCTCCCATGTGGTTTCCAGCCTCTGACAACCCCCAGGAAGGCTGGCAGCAGTCAGTGAGTGATGGAGTGGCAAAGCCACAGCAGTAGAATCCTTGTCTAAGCACTTTCTCTCTACCAGCCCGGATGGGCTTTTCCGTGTTTCGACCTCATAATTTCATTCAACATCCCTAAGAGTCTCCTACTTATACGGAGCTCTAGTGGTGGTGTTTGTCACATGTTCAACTGCTAACCGAAAGTTTGGCAGTTCAAATCCACCACATCCTCTGCTGGAGAGGATGGGCAGTCTCGACAACCTGACGGAGTCACTGTGAATTGGATTTGACTTGAGAGCAAAGGGTTTAGTGGGCACACTTAAGGTATTTTAGAGGCACTTTGAACTTGAGATGAGGTAGTTAGATGAGTGAAATTTTTTTAGAAGAAACTTTGGATCATTTTATCCCATCTCCTTGTGGGAGTCCTCATCAGGGGGCCAGTATGGGAAGAGCTTGCCCAGATTTACCCAATGAGGGGTGAAGAGCAAGGCCGAGGTCTCCTGCCCCTGTGAGTTTTGTGTTGGACCTTGCTTGGTACCCAGGTTCGTAAGGCTGCTCAGAAGCTTTTGTAGGACAGATAGAGCTCCCTGGGTGCATGTGCTGTGATCCAGACAAGCCTTGGGAATCTGACACGGTGTTCAGGTTCTGCCCCAGGTGTAGGTGAGATTGAAGGACCTGACCTGTGTTCTTGTTGGCTTTGACAGAGGGGTGAGCTCTGTGGTCCGCCGTTGTATTCACCGCAACACCGGCACTGAGTTTGCAGTGAAGATCATGGAGGTGACAGCAGAGAAGCTGAGTCCCGAGCAGCTGGAGGAGGTGCGAGAAGCCACGCGGCGAGAGACGCACATCCTGCGCCAGGTCGCCGGCCACCCCCACATCAGTGAGGCCGCCTTCCCCACTCCCGAGGGCACTACCTCCTACCTCCCGGCCCTACCCACAGCCCACTGGCCTGGTGCCACACCACCCTCTGCTCCCTTCCACTGGGCTCTGCTCTGCCTCCAAGAGTGGCCAGCCTTCGGGTCCCTGCTGCCTCCTCTGGTTCTCCTTCCTTCCCAGTAATAACAGCCCACTGCTGTCTCCGGGTGGCAAAGCCCCTTTAATGCACATCTGCTCTTTTCCATCTCTGCTGCCTCTTTCCCCAGTCACTCTCATCGATTCCTACGAGTCTTCTAGCTTCATGTTCCTGGTGTTTGACTTGTGAGTATCTCCCGGCCCTGGTCTCAGAGACTTTTGTCCACCTTGATGCACGGCCCCAGCCTTCCCATACAAAGGGCTGATGTCTGCCCTGTGCACACCGTCCTCTGTGCCAGATCAGGCTCTCAGTCCCCATGGCCCCAGTGGTCAGCCACAGAGGCTCTCTAGGTTCCTCAAGGGCAATAGTGACCACTCACACGTAATGAGTCCTTGTGACCTGAGGCGATCCTATCCCAGTCCCCCACAGTTAGGGGATTAGCAGGGAGGTAGAAAGTTGTTTTAAGAGGAGTGTGTCCATCGATGAATCTGCCACTTACAGACAGTCCCCCTTAGCTATTCTTGTTTAATGATGGTACCTGCCCTTGCCCATCAGTTTTTCAGCTGGTCACTCTGATCCAAATGTTAGCGAGGACACAGTGTAATGCCGACGTTCAAAAGAGAGTGATTCAGTTCGGTCTAGGGAAATTCACAAAGCCTTCAGCACAACCACAGAAGTAATCTTTTGCAAAATTCAGAGTTGATATGATTTTTGCGCCATTGTGTAGCTTTAAGAACAGTCATGCCCCCAGAACAGCTCATGTGTTTCTTATCTCAGGGATGGAGCTGGCATTTTAATTATAACCTCAGTTTTTAAGACTTAGGATGAAGCCAAGCAAAATATTAAGATAAAGTCCTGTTCAACTTTTTCCCATTAACTGTGAAATTTTGCTCTGTAAATCCTTACAGATTATGGTTTAGAGGTATTGGTTCCCTTTAAGAGCTTTTAAGTTATGTCCATAACAAGGCATTGATTCTTGCCGAAGTAGCCCCATGATAGCATAATGCAGGTATCTCAACCTCCAAGCCACACAGAGTTAGACTGCTCTGGCACCTAGTTCCCTTTTGGTGCTCTGTTCCCAGACCCCTTGGTTTTCATGTAGAGGGTTCTCTTTATCAGCCTCTACCATGTTATTTTCCATGGGTATTGTCCCTTAGGATGCGGAAAGGAGAGCTGTTTGACTACCTCACAGAGAAGGTGACCCTCTCAGAGAAGGAAACCAGGTAATGGCTAAAACCTGTTGTCACTGGGGAGCCAGGAGTCAGGTGGAGCGGGGCCAAACAGAGCAGCTCGCACCCCCACCAGGTCCATCATGAGAGCTCTGCTGGAAGCTGTGAGCTTTCTTCACGCCAACAACATCGTGCACCGAGACCTGAAGCCTGAGAACATCCTCCTAGATGACAATATGCAGATCCGACTTTCTGATTTTGGATTCTCCTGCCACTTGGAACCTGATGAGAAACTTCGAGGTGAAAAGACCTAGAGCCCTATGAGGCTGGGGTGGTGGGGTAGGGGTGGATCAAGGGTCCCAAGTCTGAGATGGGTTAGTTCTGAGTACTGAGCCCCAAGTACCAAGAAATGAGAAGTCAGTGGCCATTTGTAATGTGCCCTCTGGCTCAAAGACCTCGTGTACAACTCAATGTGGGCTTCCTGACCTGCACAAAGTAGGCGTGAGCAATGGCACGCAGCAGGCTAAGAACCCTGGCAGAGGGATGCTAGGAGGATGGAGCTCCAGATTGTGCCTCAGCCATGCAGAGTGGGGAGCCAGAGCCGGCCTGGAGGGATGGGCTGCAGGGAGAAGAAAGAAGTAGTTCAGGGGCCTGGAGAGGGAAGTGCCATAATGTGCTCCCACCATTTGGTAGAGCAGCCTGCGTGGCATTTCCCACCTGGTGCCCCAGCCACAGACTCACCAGATGTTAATGCGTTTGTCATGATGGAAATGCTTGTACTGCATATGGGAAACTTTTCACTGCAGTTTAACTGGGGACTCCTTAGAGCCTATCATGTGCTCTCTCACTAACCCTAACTGGAGTTATTAACTGGCAATTACTGGGCGCTTGTTATGAGCTAGGAGCCCTGGTGGCGCAGTAGTTAAGTGCTCAGCTGCTAACGGTAATATCCACAAAGGTAACCAGCTCCTCTGTGGGAGAAAGATGAGGCAGTGAGGTCAGTGAAGACTGGGAGCTTTGCAAACTCTTCTCAGTTCTGTCCTATAGGGGTGACAGGACAAGTCATACAGGATTCCACAGCAGTGTGGTTGTCTTATGAGCTAGGGAGCTGCACCAAGTCTTGAAGGGCTTCTTTCTTCTCATTCTCCTATTAGTCGTTTGAGATCGTGTTTGTTTCCATTTTACAGATGAGCTTGAAGAGGCACCGTGACCTGCTCAGGCTCATGTGGCTGCATGCAAAGTTGGCCAGTCTAACTTGAGAGCCCATGGTCTTGCTCAGAGGTGTTGAGCTTTCTGTTAAGGCTTTCTCATGGTTGGTTTCTTTTGTCCCTCTTCTGGAATAAGCTTTGCCTGCCCACTCTTGGCTTGGATAGTTCAGGTTTCGTTTGAAAGTTCCAAGGCAGTTTAGGCCCCTAATGTTTGGTTTTGTCTCTTCTTTCTGACACATCTCACTCAGCTCTTGTTTGCTCTATAGGGACACTTCACTGAGTCCCTTTTGTCCCTCATTTGGTGCTTGGTATATAGCAAGTGCTCAAGAAGTACTTTGTGAATTTCCCAAGAGAGTTGTTTTCAAGCAAGCCTATTAAGATTTTCTGGAAATGTGCCACGGGACACAGTCTGGAAATTGCTGGAAGCAGAAACTAAAAGCTGAGGCTTGAACAAGCCACAGACAGAGGCTTTGTGCTATGGAAGTCTAGACCGAGGTATGGATGGAGAGCTCGGCACAGGTTTTAAGCAGAAGATTTAACCAGCATGTGCTTCAGCCATCCCCATATTCCCACTTGGTCTCCTGGGGTCATGTGGTGGTTTGGCTAACTAAAGTGGAGATTATAGGAATAAGTTTGGGCAGAAAAGAACATGAAGACTTTATTGTGCGTTGTGTATATAAAAATGGTAGCAAGTTGGGGAGCTCTGGTGGCCTAGTGGTAAGGAGCTGCAGCTGCAATCCCAGAGGTGCATGGTTCGAATCCACCGGGGCTCTGCTGGGGAAGTAGGGACAATCTCCTCCTGTACCAGTCAGATCTGATTTGACGGTACACACACACACACACACACAAAATTTAAAAAAAAATAAAAATGGTAACAAGCAAATGTTATGAAATGTGGGAAAGGGCAGCTGTAGGTTGGCTTAGCTGGTAGATTGGAGGCAAATGAATGATATAGTTGGGTAGAACTTTTAAGTCCGGGGGGTAAAAATCAGCTTTTCCTAGGTAGACCCCAGGAGCTCTGATAGGCATTGTACTTGATTAGTGGTGACAGGTCACTGTACTGAGACTCTGGCAGAGGGCAGGCTGGAACAGAATGGGGAGCAGAAAGCCTCCACAGAAATCACTTGTTTGTTTCGGGTCCTGGCAACACCCCCTCACCCTCAGCCCTCTTTTTTCCAGACTTGTGTGGGACTCCAGGGTATCTCGCACCAGAGATCCTCAGATGCTCCATGGATGAGACCCACCCCGGCTACGGCAAGGAGGTGGACCTGTGAGTTTTTTGGTCGCCTCTCCCCTACCCCCATGTCCTCTCCTTAACACGCTCCACCCCCCCCAGGCCCTGACTTTGGCCCTTCTCTCCCAGCTGGGCCTGCGGGGTGATCTTATTCACGCTCCTGGCTGGCTCACCGCCGTTCTGGCACCGGCGGCAAATTCTGATGCTGCGCATGATCATGGAGGGTCAGTACCAGTTTAGTTCACCCGAGTGGGATGACCGTTCCAACACCGTTAAAGACCTGGTGAGCTGGGGCCATGAGAGGGCAGGAGGGGAGGCCCGAGAGCTGCGCCTTGAGTGCTGGGGTTTCTCGTAGGTCACAAAGCTGTTGCAGGTGGACCCCGAGGCCCGCCTGACGGCTGAGCAAGCCCTCCAGCACCCCTTCTTTGAGTGTTGTGAAGGCAGCCAACCCTGGAACCTCACCCCCCGCCAGCGGTTCCGGGTAAGCCTGTTCCTGTGCCCGGGGGGTCCTTTGGTGGGACCCTGCACCCGAGCTCACTCCATCCTCCTTCCCAGGTGGCAGTGTGGACAGTGCTGGCTGCAGGACGAGTGGCCTTAAGCATCCAACGGGCACGGCCGCTGACCAAGAACACGCTCTTGCGGGATCCTTATGCACTGCGCCCGGTGAGGCGCCTCATCGACAGCTGTGCCTTCCGGCTGTACGGGCACTGGGTGAAGAGGGGCGAGCAGCAGAACCGGGCAGCTCTCTTCCAGCACCGGCCCTTAGGGCCTTTTCCCATCACGGGCCCTGAAGAGGAAGGGGACTCAAATGCCATTCCTGAGTAAGAAGCTATGCTGGTGCTGGGCTAGCACCACAGCCCTGGAGAACTACAGGAATCATAAAACCTCCAGGAGGAGGATTTTATCTGTCTGGCCTCTCTGGGCTCTGGCCTTGAGCCCCCACGCCTGGCTAGGCCTGCCATGGATCATGTAACTGTCCATCTGCATACACTTTTACCCACTTAGCCAGGGCTTGGTGATCACAGCTGGGGTCGAAGGGGACCACCTGGCTTGCGTGCCCAGCCTTATCAGCGCTGCCTGTTCTGCACGTGAAATAAAATCTGCTTCGTGCCAGGGAGAGCAGGTGCCATGACTGGTGTCTGGCTGGCTTGGGCAGGAAAGCCCAGAAGTTGCTCAGGAGGGGTGGGGGCAAGCCAGGCCTTTATTGGGGAAAATGCCAGGAATCACTTGGTCTTGCTCTTGCCTTTGCCTGGGGGCGGCTGGACAGGCCGCTCCAGAGTGGCCAGCTTGCTGCTGAGCCTTGCCTCGCTGGCAGTGAGCCGCTCCTCGATCAGCTGCCGCAGCTGCTCCAGCTCCTTGTTCAGCTGGGCCTTGATGAAGGCCCGAAGGATGGAGAGCTGACCTGCAGGGGCAGGGAGGAGGGGACAGAAGGTCAGAAGGGACGCTGTCTAGGGCTGGGGACGGGGCAGGGGGTACTCCGTGCCAGACCATTGATAAGGCACCTCTCAGGTGCTAGTCCCACTGGTCTTCGTGCTCCATCAGCCGGCCTGTCTATGAGACAGCACAGAATGGCTTTGCAACCACTCACACTCTGCTAATTAGAAGCTGAGGAGCTTGGGTAGCCTGGGCCATATGGAGATGCACTGCTAACCCAAAGGCCACACACACCTCGTTGGCAGTTGGAATCCGTCAGTGGCTTCTTGGGAGGAAATGACCAATCCCCTTCTTGTGTTATTTATAGCCTCAGAAAACCTGATGGAGGGTCAGCTATGAGTCTGTTTTGACTCCACAGCAATGAATGAGAATTAGTAGCTATGTGACCTTAGGTTATGGGGTAAGAATTAATTACATAGGAGCTAAGGAATTGCACTGCCAACACAAAGGTATGCAGTTTGAATTTACCATCTGTTCCCCCGTGCAATTAACTGCCTCCGAAAACCCACTGGAGGGTCACCTATGGGTCAGTTCCAACTCGATGGTATACAGCAACATACGTAAAATGTTTAAAAGAGCCGTGCTAGCCTACAAGCTTCCAACTTAAGGACAGCTCTTATTTGTCCTTCAATATTATATGCCCTCATTTTCAAAGTCTGAGCTAACTCTGACTGCCAACAAACTCTTCATCACCATCATCTTCACTTGCTGCACATGTAGCCTTTAAATCGCTGAAAATACTTTGACCCCTTTCTCACACAAATAAAACCCAAACAACCCTCACTGATATTGGGTCAGTTTTGAGTCATATCAGCCGCCCCTGGATTTTCTGAGGCTGTAAATCCCCACAGGAGAACATGCATCCTTCTCCCGTGGAGCCACTGTGGATTTGAACCACCAGAGGGCAGTATTTGGGTTAAGAGTGCAATTTGCTAGACTCACATGTACCTGTTCTAACTTACCTACACATTCTGCTTCAAGTTACTTTTTTAATTTTTTATAATTTGTGTGTGTGCCATCAAATCGGATCAGACTGGTACAGGAGGAGATTGTCCCTCCTTCTCCAGCAGAGCACCTGGTGGATTCGAACCGTATACCTCTGGGATTGCAGTGCCGCTTCTTGCCACTAGGCCACCAGAGCTGCCCTTTAAGTAGATACTCTTATGAATGGATTTTGTTCATAACCTAGGGCTGCCTATAAGTGCCAAATATATATATGCCTTTGCCATCAGTTTTCTAATTATCCCCTTTGGAGCTCTTACCACACCCAGTACCTCGTTTTTAGGTACTTGTCATATTGGACTCCTACATGAGGAACTCCATGAAGGCATCCTTAGATGGGGGGACAGCCTTAACCCCTGATGTAAAAACTCACAATTATTCATTATTGAATATAACTGGCCTAAGGTCAGAGGGAACCCGAACACCTCTAGGCCCTCACTTGGCTCTGGTTGTGGCTGGCCTACTGTCTCCAGTTCTTGTTCTTGTAGGGGTGCTGCCTGCTCCTCTGCTTCTTTGCTGCCTTCTTCTTCTTCTTCTTCTTTCTCTGTAAGCCAGAAGGCAGAGGGATTGGCCTCAGCCCCGCAACGGCCCCAGCCCTCTGGCTTCTCCCTCATACCTACCTTTTGGCCAGAGCTTAGATGGCTGCAGCCCTACATAAGTCAAAGATAGATCCAGGTGCACCTGGGAAGCAGGAAAGAGAGGCTGAGTGGAGAGTGTCTGCACTAAGGGCAAGAGGAGGTGGGGCCGCCAGCCCAGCACGCACCTGGGGGGTGAAAACGTATTTGTAGAGCTTGAAGTGTCGGAAGTAGGTGTTGACCACATAATCTGACAGAATCAGTAGCTGATCCTCGTTAAAGAGGTCGATGCTGAAGGGAGGCCGCTGTGGGGATGGCTGGGAGTTAGGGACCTGATTCCTTCAAGTTTCCTCTCCCCCCATCTCCACCTCTTAAAACCCCTAGCCTCTCCTGTAAGTCTTGGCAATCCAGGAGCAGGGAGGACCCAGGAAGCCTTTCAAAGATGAGGTTGATGAATGTCATAGAGTGAGAGATCACACTGGACTGTCTCGGGGAAGGGGAAGGTCAAGTTCCATGGAACTGACCCGGACTCCATGGCAAAAAAGCATACTGGTGAAGTAGCGGTAACATTCCTCCACATTGTCCAAGGGGGTAGCTGGGAGAGAAAGCAAGATGTGACAGTGAATCCACTCCCTGATTTTCATTCATTTTCTTCAACAAATACAAGGCAAGTGCTTTAGTGGTGGACAGATCTAGGTTCAAGTTCTAATTTGTTTCATTGTTGTTGGTTATCATCAAGTTGGAACCGACCCAAAACTGATCCCACAGTGGGTTTTCAGAGGCAGTAAATCACTCAGGAGTGTCCATCCTCCCTCGAGCAGCTGGCAGCTGCTGTTATTCCTTCACTCAACAAATTCTGAGCACCCACTATGTACCATTCTGGGCAAGAAAGACAAGTCCCTGTTGTTACAAAGTTTATATTCTAGTGGAAGTGGTAATAAAACAAGACAAAAAGTAACTTCAAATATTATGTTCTAAAATAAAATCAAGAAAGGGAATAAAGGAGGAAGCAGGGGCGATTTTTATTGACCATGGTGCACATATTTTCATATATTGTTTCTCAGAATAATCCAAAAAAGTTGGAGCTGTGTTAGATGAGAAAATAGATACTGAGGGCAAACGTGTGTGTGATAACAGGGCCAGCTAATTACATAAATGCCAGCTGGCAATCCTCCACTTCCTACTGCCTGACATCTCATGCCAACATAGCCTTCTCGTCCTCCCCAGAGCTCAGAGTCTCTGGCTTTCTCCCTCTTACCAACACAGGCCTTGTGGAGGTCCTGCACCATGGCACAAACTGCTGATGACTGCTCCAGCGAGAAGCCCTGCTGGCGGCAGAAGATGAGCACATGGGAGAAGAGGTCTAAGGTGATGGCCTCTCGAAGGTTCTGCTCCGAAGAGCTCAGCCCCATTACCTCAGCCAGAACCCTTGTGAGAAGGGAAGAAAGGAGTATGGGAATACAGGACAATACCTAGCCTCATTGCACTACCCCTCACTCTCATCCTTTGGCACCAGCCAAACCCATCACCCTCAGCCTCTTCCAAGAGTTTTTCCTCCCCTCTCTGCTTGGCCTCATACTCCCTCATCTCCTCAACACTGGAGGTCTTCTCTAGTCGGTCCATAGAATGGATGTCCAGGTACTTCCTGTCATAAGAGAAAGGGGGAAAAGTGTTACCACCTTCACGGGATTTAAAGTTTCTGAAAACCCACTGGAGGGTCAACCATAAGCTGTGGGTCACCTGTAAAGGAGGGTAAGACCTAATGAACTCTTACAATCCTCTTCATTTCCAAAACCTAGCTCAGAAACTTGAATTCTTGGGTCTGTTCTGCCACTATCTTACTGCATGACCTTGGGCAAGTCTGCCATGTAAGCCTCAGTGTCTCCATTAGTCCAGCAGCAGCTCTCATGGGTGTTCCATCCTCAATCCTTGGCTCTTTTCTTCCCAAGGTCACACTCCCTCTGTGAATTGGGAAGGCAGAAGCGATGGCTCATATTTAGATAATTACGTTTCTAACCTGTTGCTGTTGCTATGTGCCATTGAGTTAAGTACGTCTCATAACGACCTTAGTATATCTGAGCCTTGTCCTATCATGTGACATCCTCACCATCTCCAATGAACTTGAGCCCAATGCTGTTGTCACTGTGTCAGTCATCTTGTTAAGGGTCTTCCTCTCGTTCTCCGACCTTCCACCTTTCCAAGCATGATGTCACTCTCTAAGGAATAGCCCTTCCTAGCTACATGCTAAAAGTTTGTGAGACAAAACTTCCAAATTCCTGCATCTAAGGAGTACTATGCCTGCACCTTCTCCAAGATGTATCTGTTTAAGGGAGCTCTGGTGGCTTAGTGGCAAGAAGCTGCAATGCAATCCTGAAGACATGCAGTTCGAATCCATCAGATGTTCAAATGGAAAAGGAGGGGCAATCTCCTCCTGTGCCAGTCGGATCCGATTTGATGATACACAACTAGTTAAAAAAGAAAAAAGATGTATCTGTTCTTTGGCAGTTCCATGAGACATTCAGTGTTCTTCTCCAACACTGCAGCTCAAAGGAATTACTCTCCTGTCATCCTTATTCATCGTACAGCTCCCAGATGCATGGCAGGTAATTGTGAAGTTAACTGGATGGAATCCGGTGCAACTTAGTCTTTGACACTATCGATCTTCAGGACTTTGGAGAGATCCCCAACAGCAGACATTCCTAAAGCTATACATCGCCTGACTGCTAGTACCAAGGGTATTGATTGTGGACCCAAGTTAAGATGAAATTGTTGACAAGTTCAATCGTTTCTTCATCTATTATGATGTTGCCTATCGGCAGTGAAGATTTTTGTTTTCTTAATATCAAGAGATAATCCATATTGAAGGCTGTAGTCCTTGATCTTCTGCAGCAAGTACCTCAAGTCCTTCCTCGCTTTTAGTAAGCAAGGTTGTGTCATCTGAATAACGCAGGTTGTTTCTAATTCCTCTCTACCTTTCTGTAAAATGAGGGTGCCCTGGCTGCTTCGCAAGTCTGTTGGGGAGGCACTAAAGAGAAAATGCAAGTAAGAAGTGGGCTCTTTTCATATGTTTCCCCACACTCACCACATGCAGATCCGAGGAGGGGGCAGAGGCGGCTGTGGAGAGAAAGCAAATTAGGGCAGACAGAGCTGTAGTCTCTCGTCCTTTGCACATCTGCCTCTAGGACCACGTACAAGCAGTGCGGGCCTGGGCTTGCTTGCTATTTGTGAGCATATTTATAAATGGAGACTTGTTCCCAGGGTAGCTCTGGAACATCTTTAACGTTAATAACATAATGAGGGGTGGCGTCCTGCCGGGGACCCCATTAACTATTCCTGAGCCGACCGCTGCTGCGCCCTCACCGGGAACAAGTCGACTCCGGGACCTTTCTCCGTTCCCACGGAGGAGGCTGTCGCTGACTCGGTGCGCACAGCCGCCGCTGTCCTCGAAGTCGATTCGCCGATAGAGCTGAACTCCTCCAGTTCCCGCAGCAGTTCACAGGGCAATTCAGTCTGGGACTGCATCCTCAGTCACTGTTCGGACTTTCAGCGGATCATCTCATTGATCTGGGGCGCTTTGGATCACCGTAGGCTCACTCCACCACAGAACTGAACCACCTGGTCTCAGGCAGCGACTGCCAGGGCCCAACCCTCTAGCGGCGCTTCAACCAATCTGCGCCGAGGAAATGAGGAGCGCAGCCAATGGGCGGGAGGCGTCTTCCTCCGTCTCGGTGGTGACCGTTGCTAAGGGGGTTTGCGAAGGAGGGAAAGAACAAAGTATTTTGGCCAATCCGCAGGAAGGCGAGGCGCATGCGTAATAAATTGCAACTGTGCCCCTCAAAGGACTCTCCTGAATTGTCACTACCATTCAAGTTTATCTTATTCAGGGGGGAAAGTGGGAATGTAGTGTGAGTTGCCATGGGAACTGTGTTCTGGCCAATCACCGAGGGAAAGAGGCGCTCAGAAAGAAAACTAACGGGAGCAAAATGCAGAACCATGCGTGACCAAGAGAAACAGGAAGGAGAGACTTGGCAGCACATCCGGCCCTGACTCCCGCGGCTGCGCCGTGCGCCGAGAAGGCTGGTGACGTCCGGTGAAATCCAAGATGGCGCCCCTGAGCTGAGGTTGCTGCCGGCGAGGGCCCCGGGGCCGGCGGGGCCAGGATCCAGCAGGTACGTGCGCGGGGCGGGGGGGCATGGCGGAACTCGGGGTTCTGGGCATTGCCCGCTTCCACGTCTCTGCCTTCTGCCTTCTGCAGGTGGGACGTGCTGCCTCCGCTCACCTGACGCTCCTTAGTGAAGAAACCCCGCGCATCTCCTTGCCGCCGCGGCCATGTCGGGGCCCGGCAACAAACGCGCCGCCGGAGACGGGGGCTCTGGGCCCCCAGAGAAGAAACTGAGCCGCGAGGAGAAGACGACGACGACTCTCATAGAGCCCATTCGCCTGGGGGGCATCTCCTCCACGGTTCGTAGGTTCTAGTCCTCAGTTTAGTAGTGTCCATCTCTCTTTTCTGCCCCAGATCGCCGGCCCCGGGCTTTAGCGCGATCCGCTTTGGAGAATAGGCGGTTGGAGGGAACCACGAGCGTGACGCCTACCTTTCTTTTGCGGGAAAGGTTCCTGTAGGACATATGATTTGTCAGAGACTCTAGCGATAGAGGGAGAAGGCAGAAAAATAACTTTCTTATGGTCAAGATGCGTTCTCCACGAGAACGGAGCCTCCTTGGGTCCTCTTAGCTGTCACGGAGGGTATCATTCCTTCCTCTTTCTCTTATATTTGAGTTCTGCGCCCTGCCTGACTCTCTTTGGCTTGCTTTCCTTTGTAGGAGGAGATGGACCTGAAGGTTTTGCAGTTTAAGAATAAGAAATTAGCCGAGCGGTTGGAACAGCGACAGGCTTTTGAAGATGAACTTCGAGAAAGAATTGAAAAACTGGAGAAACGGCAGGCCACAGATGATGCCACCCTCCTGATTGTCAACAGATACTGGGCCCAGGTGGATGTCCTGCTTTCCTAGCCCTGCTCCACCTAATTAAAACGGGTCTTTTCAATCACTTGTTATGAATGGCTCCTGGACCTCAGACTTCCCTGCTGATAAGGGTACGTCGACAGGGTCCATAACACTTGGGGTGTTTTCTCACTTCAGCTAGATGAAACAGTGGAAGCCCTTCTTCGACGTCATGAGAGCCAAGGAGAGCTGTCATCAGGGGCAGAGGCACCTGGGACCCAAGAAGGGATGACACATGAAACTCCACACACAGAGCCAGGGACATCGGAGCTGAGGGGTAAGCCAGGGTCCCAGGATCTGGGCAGCTTGGGTTAATTTCTGGGAAGGTATTAAGATGGAGGATGTTTTGATACTGTTGTTGATGTTATGTGCTGTCGAGTCGCTTGCAACTCATAGCGACCCTATGTACGACAGCCCTAAACCCTGCTCTGTCCTGTGCCAATCGCACTGTTTCTGATACACCCATCCCGATTACAACAGTCACTGAATCAATCCATCTCATAGAGGGTCTTCCCCTCCTGCACTGTCCCTCACCCTCCCAAGCATGATGTCCCTCTCCAAGGACTTGTCCCTCCTTACAACATGTCCAGAGTATGGCAGACGAAGCTTCAGAATCCTTGCCTCCAAGGAGTAGCCCGGTTTAACCCTTTCCAGGATGAATCTGTTTGTTTTCCTAGTGGTCCATGGTACATTCAATACTCTTCTCCAGCACCACAGCTCAAAGGCATCAATTCTTCTATCCTCCCTAGTCATTGTCCAACTCTCAACACAGCTGATAGAAGATTTGAGGGGGGAGGAGGAATGCAGATTTTTAAATCTGACTTGACTTGATTCTTGTTTAGAAAGTCATTTAATTTTTTTAATAAATTACTTATGTTCATTGCTGTCTGTGTGTTGTTGTTGTTGTTGTTGTTGTTGTTATGTGCTACGGAGTCGGAACTGACTCCTGTCTGACCCTCCAGTGCGTCAAGCTGTAAATTTCATGAGATAAGACATCCCCTCTTTTCTCCCTTGAGCACCCGGTGGGTTTGAGCCACCCTCCTTTGGCAACACCACCCCCCACCCCTTACCCACTAGGCCACCAGAACTCCCTGCCTTTTGTGTACTTAGTAGACACTTGGAAGAAAAAAAGATGAGAAGAGATTCGTTTTCCTGCTTATTAGGGGGATAACATTTAAAGAGATAAACTGACTTGAAGTCATTAAGTATGCACACGATTACGTATTATGATATGTTAAAAGTACAGAGATACCTGCAAAGAAAATAATGGTGTGTTCATGTTTATGTGGCTCTGACTTGAGAAAATAGAGGCAGCTTCCCCAGAGAACTGATTCGGGACCTCTGTGGCCTTGAAGAAATGAACTTCCTGAACTTCAGTTCTCACACTTTCGGGATGGGGATAGCAGCTTCCTGCAGGCAGTAGTTGTGTTCACTCCGTGAACCACAGAGCGTGAAAGACCTAGTGTGTGACTTGGGCCGCGGGAGCTGTTGCTTCTATCCTTATAAGGGTCTGTGTGTCCCTCTCAGAGTCCCTACCGATGCACTTACGGCCCCCGCTTAGTGAGCCGGCCCTGGCGTTTGTGGTGGCTCTGGGGGCCAGCAGCTGTGAGGAAGTAGAGCTGCAGCTGCAGGGCCGGATGGAGTTCTCCAAAGCAGCTGTGTCCCGTGTTGTCGAAGCTTCAGACCGCTTGCAGCGACAAGTGGAAGAACTGTGCCAGCGGGTGTACAGCCAAGGTTAGCATTTTGCACCCCCACCCCAAAACTGTCCATACCTACTTAAACGTTTATGGTACCCTTTCTCCTTTGCCTCTCAAGCCCTAAGCCTAGAGGCCATCGGAATTCCTGAAGGAATAAACACCCATGTTCTGAAGGGAAATCTTGGGTTGCTGAGGGAGTTCTGGCTTTGGTTCTTGGGGTTGGACTATGGAGTCATAGATGCAGAATACAGACTTATCTGGGACTTAGCATATAAAGCCTGTCGAACGTTACTGGTCCCCAGAGCATGGAGCATATGCCCAGCTTTTACAGACTGATAGGTATCTCCCAGCCTCAGCCTTAGTTCTGCCACTCACCTGGGTGTCTTGATTGATGGCTCTTTTCTCTGAATAAGTTTAGTCTTAATGCATAATGAGGATAAGAACTCTTGGCTTTGTCGTGACAGATAATAAAGTTGGTGGATCACGTTAGGCGTAGTAGAATGATCTTGCACTTTGCTGCATTGCCATGGGATTGACTCTTCTTTATGCTCCTCCTTCCCAGGGGACAGTGAGCCCCCCAGTGAGGTGGTTCAGGCTCGCACCCGGGAACTGGGCCGTGAGAACCGGCGGCTGCAGGACTTGGCCACCCAGCTGCAGGAGAAGCACCACCGAATCTCATTAGAGGTAGAATCAAGCGGTTTTGATTTGGATTAGAACTCGGGCAGGGCTTGGGTTGGGGAGGGGGGCACCTAAGGCGTCTCAAGGAACCAAGTTCCCTGTCCGAACATCTGTCCTCTCCGTTGTCCCCAGTACTCTGAGCTCCAGGACAAAGTGACTTCAGCTGAGACCAAAGTGCTGGAGATGGAGACAACTGTGGAGGACCTGCAGTGGGACATTGAGAAGCTGCGCAAGCGGGAGCAGAAGCTCAATAAGCACCTGGCAGAGGCCTTGGAGCAGGTGAAACCACAGTGCCAGGCCAGGTGCATCTGGAGTTAGGTGCTTAGGGACCTCAGTTTTACATCCATTTGTCTGTCTCTTCTCTCTGCAGCTCAACTCTGGCTACTATGTGTCCGGGAGCTCCTCAGGCTTCCAGGGTGGCCAGATAACACTCAGCATGCAAAAGGTGAGGGGATAGCATTTGTCTCACCCTTCTATCCATTTCTCAACCCTGTGCTTGAAATTCTCCTCAGAATTACAAATGGACATCCAGCTAGAACCTGAGTGGCTCTGCTTGTATTTATTCAGTTAACAGTTAATTGATCAGTTAATATGACCACTATATTGTATGTTGGAGTCATGGAGAACAAGAGAGAGCTGAGGTTGTAGAAACAAAGTAAAAAAGTAAATGAAACATACAATGCATTGAGTATACTACTAAGGGAAATAAAGCGAGATAAAGAAGGAAGAAATGGAAATACTTTGGAGTGAGTTGGCATTTTTCGCCGGGGAGCTAAGGAAGGTCCTCCTGGAGGGGATGTATCTCATTTCTCACTGCCTGGTTTCTTGGTAACAGGACGTTTTCTTGGTGCAGTGAAGGGGTCCCGGGGCCCTGTTTCCCTCCAGTTGCGTCTTCGGGTCTCCTGGACACCATCAGTTAGGAGCCCTGGCTCCCACAGTTGACCCACACCCAGAGTTGAATTTTGTCCGTGTTACCTTGGTGTTTTGAGACCTGTGCTTAGTCATTCTCATCCCCATTCAGGTCCCATCTCTCCTCCACAGGGGAGACTGTATATGGTGTATGGTGGAGATGTGAGGGATACATGTGTTCTGCCCTCACAGCCTTCCTCTTTCTAGTTTGAGATGCTGAATGCCGAGTTGGAGGAGAACCAGGAGTTGGCCAATAGCCGCATGGCAGAGTTGGAGAAGCTGCAGGCAGAACTGCAGGGGGCTGTGAGGACCAATGAACGCCTCAAGGTGGCTGTGCTTGTGACAGGGAAGGCCTGGACTCTAGGGGCTGACCTCCAAGTCCTGCTTGCTGATTCCTTTTGGGCATGTGTGTCCAGGTGGCACTCCGGAGCCTTCCAGAAGAGGTCGTGCGGGAGACTGGGGAATACCGCATGCTGCAGGCTCAGTTTTCATTGCTTTATAATGAGTCCCTGCAAGTGAAGACTCAGCTGGATGAGGCCCGGGGGCTGCTGCTGGCCACCAAGAACTCCCACCTGAGACACATAGAGCACATGGAGGTGTGGCCCTGGGACAGGTGGGGACTGGGAGGTAGGACCAGAACGCCAGGGCTCACTAGCCCTGTGGGGCTGCCCTCGGGAATGGATTCTCCCCAAGCCACTGAGGCCTAAAGTGGGGTGAAGGAGGGAGAAGCTTGGCAGGGAGAGCTGAGGGATCACTTAGATCCTTACGGCTCGACCTGCAGAGTGATGAGCTGGGGCTGCAGAAGAAGCTGCGCACAGAGGTGATCCAGCTGGAGGACACGCTGGCCCAGGTACGCAAAGAGTACGAAATGCTGCGCATCGAGTTTGAACAGAACCTGGCAGCCAACGAGCAGGCAGGTATGTGGTGGGGATAGGGTGGAGGTGGGACCTTCTCTGGGAGTACAGGAACTAGGGAGAGCTGGCCCTCTTCTATCCAGGTGCAGGAAGTTAAACTCCGCCCGTTCTAGAGCCTCAGTGCCCTTTGAAAACCGAGTCCCACCACCCAGCTCACAGTCCCATCTGTGCTTTCCAGCCTTTCAGTGCCTCTTGCTTTGAGGTAGTCATCAGTACTCAAAGATTTCTTCCCCACCACCTGTGAGCCAGGCTCTGCCCTGCTACGGTTTAGGGTTAGGCTGGTGAATCCCTGCCTTTGAGCAGTAAGGAAAAGTAAGGCAGTAAAGAGTTTATATTAGTTAGTAATTCTGAGAAAAAGGAAGCAGTTGCCTGTCTCAGGCAGCTGGCTGGATTCAGACCATTTTTGCGCCCCATGTGCTTCTCAGTACAGCAGGGAATAGTAGGGACAATAGCTGGGGAAAGTATGGTCATTTAGGATGGGGGACCATCCAAAGGATGGAGGGACCATCCAAAGGGAAAGACCTCGAAACGACATTTGTTTAAAAATCTACAGGGAGTAGATTAACTTTTTCTTTTTTTTCCCATTTTTTTTAATGTAAATTTATAGTTATTTTATCAAAGGAAACTTTTAAAAATCATTTTGATTTTGGGTGTTTTTTTTTTAATTCACATTGTGTTTGTTCCCATGCATTATGTCGTATAAAATTAATTACCATTGGTCTATGCCCACTATTACCCCATCTTTTCAGATCCCCACTGGATCTTTCCCAATTCCTTCACTCACTCCACCCACCAAACTCAGTAACCTGGTGATTTCTCCTCCTCTGCACCTTCAGTCTTCCTGCTCCCTCCTCTTCCCTCTTTGGGTACTCGCACACATCTTCCTAGTTATCCTTCTGTTTTTATACTAATGCTCTTATCTAGTATTTGTCTTTATGAGTCTGAGGTAATTCACCCAGCACAATGCTGTGTAGCCTCTCTCATGTTAGTATTTTTTTTTCTCCCCGCCCTCTCCGTTAGATAGTATTTTTGAAAATTGTTGCAACTGAGTGTTGGATGGAATTCCATCATGTGAATGTACCACAGTTTCTTAATCTGGTCATTTGTTGATGAACATTTGAGCTGTTTCCTTGTTCTGGCTGTTGTGAATAATACTGTTATGAACATCAGTATACAAGTCTATTTATGTCTCAGTTCTTTTATTCTCTGGGTGTATTCTTAGCAGTGGAATAGCTAGATCATATGGAATTTTAAAGTTTAGCTTTTTGAGAAAATGCCAAACTGCCTTCCAGAGTGCGTGTACCATTTCACAGTCCCACCAACAGTGCATGAGAGCGCCAGTCTCTCATCTTCTCCAGTGTTTATTGCTTATCATATTGTTAAACTGTGCCATTGAGATGGTATATCATTTTGGTTTTGATTTTTATCTCTTTTGCTAGTGATTTTTGAGCATTTCTTCATGTGTCTGTTGGCCATCCAAATGTCTTCTCTGTGAGAAGTCTTTCTGTATCATTTGTCCATTTGGTGATAGGGTTATCTGTCTTTTTCTTTGGAGGCTCTGTAGAATTCTATAAATTTTCATTACAGGACTTTGTCACAGATGTCATTGCCAAATATTTTTTTTCTCTCCAGTTAGTAGGTTTTCTTTTCACTTGATTGAGGAAAGTTTTTGATCTGCACTTTTTTTAATCTTTAAAAGTCCCATTCACTGATATTACCTTCTTCCGGTTGTGCAATGGAAGGAAACTTTAAGTACCCTCAAACTCTGTTGTGGTGGTGTACCATAGAGTCAGTACCAACCCATAGCTGACCCTCTGGCAGATTTTCAGATGCAGTTATGCCTATCCTTCTTCCGCAGAACGGCTGGTGACCTTGAACGGTGTTCCTTCAGGATTACAGTGCAGCTTCTTGCCACTAGGCCACCAAAGTTTCCTTGAACTCTTTGCTAGCAGAAATAATAGCAGGAGACACTATCATGTTTAGGAATTACTTATGAGCTCATGCAGTATAGAAGGGCTGCTGTTTCCTCTCCTGCACAACAGGAATGATGGCTCTGGCTCGGCCTCTTCCCCACTGAGGGGGTGAACCTGTGACTCAGGGGCCCATCTGACCCCTTGCCTCCTGATACTCCCTCCCCCAGGCCCCATCAACCGGGAAATGCGCCACCTGATCAGCAGTCTCCAGAACCACAACCACCAGCTGAAGGGGGACGCTCAGCGCTACAAGCGGAAGCTGCGGGAGGTGCAGGCTGAGATCGGCAAGGTGAGTGGGGGTGGGGGTTCTGCCTGGGTAAGTTTCCGGGACCCTGGTGAGCACTGTGTCACCTCATTGCTGTGCTTTGTCTTCTCAGCTCCGAGCTCAGGCCAGTGGTTCTACCCACTCCATCCCTAACCTGGGCCACCTGGAGGACTCTGGCCTTAGCGCACCAACCCCAGGGAAAGAGGAAGCGGGACCAGGCCCTGGCGGTGCTCCCGACGGCAGGAAGGAGATAACCCCAGTGCCCAGTGCCACCATAACTGCCTCATCAGTGAGGAAGGAGGAACTGGTCTCCCCTGAGGAGGACACCCAGGCCCTGACTCCTGGGACCCAGGGCCCCTCCTCCCGGGGCCGAGAGCCCGAGGGCAGGCCCAAGCGGGAGCTTCGAGAACGTGATGGACCTGGCCTGGGACCACCGTCTGCAGCCTTAGCCCTCTCAAGGGTTGACCGGGAGAAGGCCAGAGTGGAAGAGGCTAAGAGGAAGGAGTCAGAGCTCCTCAAAGGTCTCCGAGCAGAGCTCAAGTGAGGCCCCATTGTCCCCTGTCCCTACTGCCTTGACCAAGTTAGCCTTCGACCCTTCTTGCCAAGCCGCTTTGTACTTTCCTAGGAAGGCCCAGGAGAGTCAGAAAGAGATGAAGCTGCTGCTGGATATGTACAAGTCAGCTCCCAAGGAGCAGCGGGACAAGGTGCAGCTCATGGCAGCTGAGCGCAAGGCCAAGGCTGAGGTGAGGGCTGGAGCATGCACTGGGCCATGCACAGGGGCTGGCCCAGGGTTCCTGTTCTGCTGTGGGCCAGGGGTGTCTGACGAGTGCACGGCCCCTGATCAGCAAGATGCAGGGACCAGAGCAGCCCATCCTCCTGGTGACTGTAGGTGGATGAACTGCGAAGCCGAATCCGAGAACTGGAGGAGCGGGATCGGAGGGAAAGCAAGAAGATCGCAGATGAGGACGCTCTGCGGCGCATCCGGCAGGCAGAGGAGCAGATCGAACACCTGCAGCGCAAGCTGGGTGCCACAAAGCAGGTGCGGCCCCTTCCCCCCGAGGCCTGGAGTCCTGTACACTCCTTGCTGAGTGCCCCCCACATTGTGGCATGTCACTGGTCTCTCTGTGCTTCTCCAGAGCCATTTTTTCCTTGCCCATTTGCAGGAGGAGGAGGCTCTGCTCTCAGAGATGGACGTGACGGGTCAGGCTTTTGAGGACATGCAGGAGCAGAACGGGCGGCTGCTGCAGCAGCTACGTGAGAAAGATGACGCCAACTTCAAACTGATGTCTGAGCGGATCAAGGCCAATCAGATCCACAAGCTCCTGCGGGAGGAGAAAGATGAACTCGGCGAGCAGGTTCTTGGCCTCAAGTCTCAGGTATGGCTGGCCTGGCTCATGGGGTGGAGCCAGAGCAGAGGCCCCCTCGTCCTGAGCACTCACTCCCGTTTTCAGGTGGACGCCCAGCTGCTGACCGTGCAGAAGCTCGAGGAGAAGGAGCGGGCCTTGCAGGGCAGCCTCGGGGGTGTGGAGAAAGAGCTGACCATCCGGAGCCAGGCCCTGGAGCTCAACAAGAGGAAGGTCAGGCTGGGCCTTGGGACCAGCACCCTGGCTTGCTGGCTAACACCCCCACTTTCAGACTCCACTCAGAGTTCTTCTGAGGAGGATGGCTTCTAGGGACGAAGCCTGGCTCTTTTGTGACAGTGGTGCTCTGCCCTGGTTAGCAGTCATTGTGTCAGACCCCAACTCCAGCCATATTTCAATCTCATAGTAATGTACAGGGATGGTTTTATTATTATTATTCCTCTTGTAAGGAAACTGAGCCTTTGGGAGGTCAACTGACTTATTCAGGAAAGAGAAGAACCCTCTCTTGGTCCCAGGACCCATGTTCTTTTTTTTTTTTTATTTTATTATTTTGTGTGTGTGTGAGTGTACCGTCAAATCAGATCTGACTGGTACAGGAGGAGATTTTCCCTCCTTCCCCGGCAGAGCATCTGGTGGATTCGAACCATGCGCCTCTGGGATTGTAGTTGCATCTCCTTACCACTAGGCCACCAGAGCTCCCCAGGACCCATGTTCTAAACCCTGGATTGGTTAACTGTAACGTGAGAGTGGTTGCTGTCCTCCAGCTGTGTGCAGGGAACGGACAGAAGAAATGCCTCGCTCAGGTTAAAGGCTGCACATTGAGGTTCACCATTTTCTCCTGGACTTTTTTTGCCTCCAAGTCAATCATCATTTTCTATTCCTTTTACCAGGCCCGGGGTTTAGTGCTGGGGAAACAGTAGAAACAAGAGGGGCCCATCCTTTTTAGAGCTTCTAGTCTTGAGTAATTCAGCAAATATAATATTACTAGACCATAGTCATTCCCAAAAAGGGAGATAAAGTGCAGTGGAAGAAAAACAGGGATGCTTTTTTCCGGGAGGAAACATCTGAGACTTGATGGAGATACTGAGGGAAAGTATGTGTATGACGTTAGTTGAGAGGGAACAGAGAAGAGCTTTGTGAGGGTTCAAACACAAGAAAGCATCAGATGAGAAGCTGAATGTGTCAGGAATGAGCAGGAGAGTTGAGGGTGACAGAGACGTGAACGGTCAGGAGGCAGGGCCAGCTCGGGTGCAGATGCTGGGCTTGGACTTGATCCCAGGAGCAAGAACCGCTAGAACATTTTACATGAACATGGGTTAATGGTGGCCTGACCCCCTCCACTGAGGCACATGGTTTCTCTCCACCTGCTTCAGGCTGTGGAAGCCGCACAGCTGGCTGAGGACCTGAAGGTACAGCTAGAGCACGTGCAGACACGGCTGCGGGAGATCCAGCCCTGCCTGGCAGAGAGCCGGGCGGCTCGGGAGAAGGAGAGCTTCAACCTCAAGAGGGCGCAGGTGTGTGGGTGGGGGACTGGGGGCCGGGGCTGAGATCTGGCCTTTGCCTTTTTTTTTTTTTTTTAATTTTTTTGGCCTTTGCCTTTTAACATGGCCTCTCTCCAACCCTAGGAGGACATTTCACGGCTGAGACGAAAGCTGGAGAAGCAGAGGAAGGTGGAGGTGTATGCAGATGCTGACGAGATCCTCCAGGAGGAGATCAAGGAATACAAGGTGGGTTCTGGGGCTGCATGGCTCCGATACACCCAGAAACATGACGTGAGGGGCTGGTGAGAATTACAGTGGGTAGTCCGGGGATCCTAGAGAGAAGATTGCAAAACCCTGGTGACATAATGGGTATATGACACTGTGCAGGTTACAGCGGGAAACCCTTTGGGGCAGTGCCTCCCTGTTCTGTACGGTCCCTAGGACTTGGTATTAACTCCCTGTCACAAAGTAACAAGATCCGGTAGGATAGTGAAAAAGGTTTAATTGAGACATACACCCATGACAGCACAGTAGTAGGTGGGCGCATCTTAGATGGAGGAATTGGCCAAGTAATTCCCTCACATCATTAATGAGTAACATGAGAGCAGAGGGCAGAGAAGGGCTTAAGGAAACTCAGGCACCTTTTAACCAGCCCTGGGGTTCAGCAGGAAGAGATGTTACCAGAGGCAAACTTGAAGGGTTGTCTGTGAAGGGTTCCAAGCAGAGAAGAGGGAGCTGAGTGTCCTGGTAGGATGAGGGTGTGGGTTTTGTGGTAAAAAGGAAACCTGGTGAGGCTGGGCAGTGTCAAGCCCTGAGGGGGTGGTGAAGCCAGGCTGTGGTGAGCCAGGCTGAGATGCCTTACTTCCCACACACTGTGAAGACATCAGAGGGTCTTAGGCAGGGGATCTGGGCTGGGAGGGGCAAGACTAGAGGCAGAGCTGTTGGAGCTATTGTTAGCTATTGTAGGTGGCTCACAGGTGACACTGAACTTCCTAAGGGCTTGAATACAACCAATGGGTTCAGGTCTTTAGGAGGTGAGATGCCTGGGGGTAAGGATGGAGCAAATGCATGGAGTGAGGAAGGAGAGGTCATTAAGGCAGGACGCACTCTACTGCAGTTCCCGATTTGAGCAGCTGGAGGGTGACTGTGTCCTTTATTAGGGTTTGGAAGAGCAGGTTTGTGTGGATTTTGCTTAAAAGATTTTGTTGAGAACAAGATGAGAGCTACATACCTCAAAACATTAATGATGGGAAGAGGAGGTGGGAGGGAAGAGAGCTTAAACTGCGCTAAGCCGAGTCAGGGCTGCCAGGAAGGCAGAGGAGCCAAGCATTGAGATTCTGCCCTTGGACTTGATGGTAATGGTTTTGGGGTTGGAGTTGGAGCACCTGAGGAGAGGAGAGGGTGGTGGGAGTGAGGATGGATGATCCTGTGAAGCAGTCAGTTTGATCTTAACGAGGCGCGGCAGCCACAGAGAAGGGGATGGTTTCTAAAAAGAACCTGTTACATGCTATTGCAGTGAGGGGGATAGAGGAGCCCATGCAAAGGCCTGGGATTCCTTGACCTTAGGAGGGCACGTGTGACCCTTCTCATCGTCCAGGTTGGAATCTGGACTCTGCTGCTTTCTAGTTTTGAGCTTTGGCTTCTGGGCCTCAGTTTCTTCATTTGTCAAGTGCTCGCTCCCACTTCTCTGAATCTGCTGGATGTAGGGGCTCTGTCTAGGGTGTAGGTGCCCTCAGGGAGCTCCCGAGCTCATGCCTTTGTCCTGCCCAGGCGCGACTGACCTGCCCCTGCTGCAACACCCGCAAGAAGGACGCTGTGCTCACGAAGTGCTTCCACGTGTTCTGCTTCGAGTGTGTGCGGGGCCGCTACGAGGCGCGCCAGAGGAAGTGCCCCAAATGCAATGCAGCCTTTGGTGCCCATGACTTCCATCGCGTCTACATCAGCTGAGCCTGTAACTCAGGACTTTGGAGCAGCCATGGGCTCTGGGGCTGTGCCCTGGCCCCTCTCCCTCCCGGATCCAGTGTTCCTTGCTCTGCATTCCAGACCCTGTGGGTCCACTTCTGCCCACCTGGGTAGCTTGGGGGCCTAGTGCATGCTAGTAGGATCAGCCAAGCTCAGTGCCCTTGTTTCCTGAAGACCATAGGGCTAGTCTGGATGCCACCTGCCCCATGGGCATAGGCTGCTATGAGACTGCAGAGTCATCCAGTTGTCAGCTGAGCTTCCTGGAAGCTGCCTTAACCTTTCTCCCAATCCACAGGCACCCTTGTTCTGTGGGAATTCCACAGGCCGTGACCTCCCACTAGAGGCTCACCACCTGGCTACATACCCAGACATGAGCAGAAGTAAGCTTGGCCCTGTCCCCTTCTTTTGTGTGACTGGGTCCTGAAATTTCTTCCCCACAAGCCCAAGCCAGGTTTCCCTCCTGTGGTCCCTGTGTGGGCTAGAGTGAGGGGCAGCTGCTGGGTAACCCTGGTCACCCGCCGTTTGGAACTGTTCAAGCCAAGACCATAAATTTCTAGCTAAACAGGCCCCTCCTAATTTCCATTCTCTATCCTGCTTGTTTAGCCCCACCTCATGGATGCTTTGGGGTCCCCAGCTTAGACTCCACTTTCATCCTGGTGGTCTTATCTGCATCGGAGGCAAAACTCCCCTGGAGGGTAAGGCACAGACCAGCTTTTGGGCCAACTTCCGATCATTCCAGGCAGGACTTCACCCAGCCACCCAATGACAGGCAGCACTGTATTGCTTCCTGTGCTGTGTGCTCATGCAGAGGCCATGGGCCAGGGAGGCCTGGCAGCCGAACAGCTGATAGAACGGGGCCAGTTTGCACCCGGAGCCTCTAGAGAGATGTATATAGGCGGGTAATTATTCTAATAAACGCCCAGTCCTTGGCCTGCCGTCCACGCAGGCAGGCCTCCTGCGCCCAGCTTGGTGCCTGCTTTTTAGCCACACCCCCAGCTCTGTCTAATTGGATTTGGGGATCCCTGCGCTAGACTGGACTGAGCACATCTGAAAGGAGGCTCGCACTCAGGTGTCCGGAGCCCACCCATCTCGCGTCCGTGGAGGCGGCTTTGGGGCCCCAGATTCTGTGTTTGCCCGCCCTTCGCTCCCTGTGATCACTTGCCTTTGGCGTGCGGTCCTGGGAAACGAAGTGTGGTGGCTGCATGTAGCCCTGCACCCTGAGAGGAAACCCCGGTCCTTGGCTGTGCAGCGCCGACCCTGACCTCGGGGACCCATCCTCCACCCCCTCGGACAAACAGATGGAGACAGATAGGGGAACTCCCTTCATTGCAGCCCGCGCTGGTCTGAAGCCATGTCTTCGGAAACGTGTGTTGAGGCGTGTCTGGGTTCAGTTCTGGGTTCGGTCCAGTGCTGGGGTCGCGGCCGGAGCTTTTGCGGAGGCGGCACAGGGACTCCCGCGGGCAGGCGCCAGGGCTGTGGCTGGAAGAGGCTCCACGGGCCTGGCGGCAGTCACTCCTTCACGGGGCCTGGCGGCCTTGTCCGCTTTCGGACCCTCCCTGGTGGTGGCGCCGTGGCTGCACCAGGTCGGCTCGGAGGCGGAGGCGCGGGCCGCGTTGGGCACAGGGCTGCCGGGGACCCGCATGCTGGTAGAGGAGTGAGTGGCCGCGGGGGATGGCATCGGGCTGCTGAGGAAGTACCAGGAGGAAGGGGCAGCGGAAACAAGGTGGGCAAACCACAGGACATTGCGTCATAGACAGGGCACCTGCGCCCCCTGCAGAGGCCCCCACCCCACCCTGCCTGGTGCGCGTGCCCTGGTCACCATGGGGACCCTTCCCAGAAATTCAAGTGACCACACACGGCTGCCTCGGACTTCTCTAGTTGACCGTTAATCCAGAGGGGCAGAGTTTTGTGGGCATTCATTCCCAATTATTGGGTATTTTCTCAAGCTTTTAAAGGCCCTAGAAAGTGAAAAGTCCCAGGATTTCTGTGTGGGATCAGGCAGACGCCGTTGGGGGAGGGCGTAAACGATAGATGCCCAGTGTGGGGAGGGTTGGCTGCTCAAGCCCCTGCCTGGGACTTTGATCCCTTCTAATCAGCAAGGCCCTGGTGACTGTTGGTATGCTGGGCCTTGGGCGGGCAGGCAAGGCTCTGCCTGGACCAGTGGTGACCTTGGCTGACCCCATTGTGAGACAACAGATGGCCTCAACAGTGGAAAGTGTCCCCTTCTGCCAGTACTGACTACCTGGCTCTGGGGCCTGTGCTGTCCCCTCCTGGTCCTCTCTGGCTGCTAGTCTCCCATCACTAGTTTTGCTGCCCATTTCCACGGCCATGGCTGCAGCTGAATGGCTTGGACCAGAGCCCCAAACCAGGAAAATCACCAATTGTAGAGGAAAATGGAATTGTAGCACCTTCCCTCAACATCCCCAAGGCCCTAAAACAACACTGAATGCAGCCAGGTTGGGTTACCTTTGCCCAGTCCTCACGCCCTGTGCCCAGATCACTCCTAGGACCCTCAGTCCTTCGAGTCCTGCACATGCTGTTCCCTGTTCCTGCATTTCTCATTTGTCAGGTCACCTCCCCCAGCAAGTCTTCTCAGCCCTCTGCCACAATGGTAACATCTTGGGGCTCCCCAGTCCCTGCTGAGTTGCTCTAGTGCCCTGTTGTGCCTGGTGCTGAGGGCAGGAAATGTGGAAGAGCTTCAGTCCTCACCAGAAAGGAAGGGGTGATTTGACCAGTACCCCTACCATCTCTAAACCACACCCTTGTTTTCCACATGAGAAAAGTAAAGTAGGGACAGGAACACACGGGGCAAGTGGATAGAGCAAAGGCAAGCGGCAGAGCAGGCACTGACCCTGGAGAACCATCTGGGACCCATAGCCTGGCCTGGTGGTGTCTGAGGAGCTGGTCAGACCTGGTGTCATAGAGGTGGGCTTGGGACACAGAGCCTCCCCAAGCTCTGACCATTTTAGTTTCTTGCACAGGCTTAAAGGCAAATGGCTGCTCTCCTCAGCCTTTCCACACCATGGAGAACCCACAAACTCAACATCCCAAGAGTTAAATGATGCATCAGGTCTCCACCATCTAGTGATCCCAAGTTTAGAGCAGAGCTGAGACACATGAGCCAGGCCTAGGACCCAATGAACCAGAAGAGGTAGCTGCCAGCTTGTGGAAATACATCTTGGGAGGACATGCGTTACTATGGGGCATCTTGAGGAAGGTGTAGGTATTTGTGGCCAGAGTGACCTCCCTGAATTGCATAGCTGGGCCCAACCTGGCTAGTGCCAGCCACCAGATAGGCACCCAGCAGTTAGTATGTCACTGGTATTAAAGCCAAGCACCATCTCAAGACTTCTCCCCATCTCCGCCAAGGGTGTGGTGTGGATTTTCAAACTGTAAGCCCTTCAGCTGTCCATCAGGAAGTACTGAATGAGGACTCCAATGGCCCCGGTTAAAGGGTTGAGTGTGGCCGAGGCTGGACTCTGGTTCTGGAAGAAGGCGAGTTCTAGGCTGAAAGACAAGCCAGTAAACACCTGGGAAATCTTACTCCCTTTATTCTCTTCAACTACTCGACATGACCACCGAGACACAACACTGTATTGACACAACAATCATAGGTGGGGCCTCTTGCTCCAGGGGGACAACTCAGGTGAGTGGGCAAAGAAGTCTGGGGTGGCTCGCCTCAGCGTGTGTGTATAGGTGTCGTGGAACCCTACATTTTGATTGTGATGGTTTCATGTTTCCCCACCACCCAGGATTCATGCCAAGTTCTGCCCATCTGACCTCCAGAACCGTGGCAGTTTCAAGTTTCACACTGAGCTCAGATTAGCTTCTTTCCCCAGTGACTCCCTGCCCTGAATGTTGGTCACCCCACAGGGCACACCAGAGGGGCGTGGGATTCGTGGGTAGGAGGAGTGTTCAGCCTCTGAGGCTCAGCTCTGCAGCCCCCTTGATGAGCGGCCTCCTCCCATGGCCATGGAGGAAAGCACCTAGCTAAAGTTTGGAGATGGGTGAATTAGAGAACAGGGCACACTCCAATGGTCTCCAATTGCCCATTTCCTGCTTTGAACCCCCAGACCCTCGTGACCCTTGTCCACATCATCCATTTAGTACTGGAGCCAAGACCCTTAACCTCACCCATCCCAACAACATGCGAGCATATGCTATATGCTACACCCTAGTCCTATGGGTGGCCTCTGACTACACACACCCTCTCCCCCTAGAGCTGGATCTTTGAGACCCTGAGGCTTTTCCCCAGAACAGATTCTGGGACAGATTCCTCAGACTTGTTTGCAAGGAGCTCTGCTTCTAGCTTGACAAGGAGTTTCTCTCTACAACTTATTTTTTTTCTGCTCTCAGAGAAAAAAAAAAAACCAAAACTAACACCTGCTTAGAGGTAACAGCTTTAACTCCTGGGTCTTAGAGGGACACCCCTTCGTCAGAGTTCCAGCAGAGCTCAGGAGGCAGGCTCCTCCTTCCCTCTCAGTAGTGCATTCCTACCTGACCGCGCGCGCGCGCGTGTGTGTGTGTGTGTGTGTGTGTGTGTGTGTGACGCAGATGTTGACAAGGTTTTTCCCTACAAGCCTGAATGTTTTCCTCTATGATGGTCTACATTTTGAACCTTTTCAATTTGAGGATCATCCCTCACAATTTTGAAGACAGATTAAGAGTGAAGAAACTTCTAGGTCATGGAATTCGAGGTCTCTTCCAAAGCTTTGTAGGAATTCAGGTCCCCTCTCTGGGGGTGTGTCTGAGCCACCTCACCCTGCCAGGGAGGTGCGAGGGGTCCTTCCTTCCACATCTGGACCTAAACAGAGTCCTCTCCTTCGATACAGGGCCCTGGGTTTAAGAGGTGGCGTTTATGATGCAGGTTGTTTCTCTAGAACTACTTCACAGGATCACAGTCTCTTCCCCCTATCACACACACACAGTCACATGAGTCCGGCTGGGTTTATGAAAATGTTAACTGTGGGGCATGAGGACACGAGGTGGGCCTGGCAGAGAAGTTTCTCCTTCCTTCTGTTTTCTCAGGTTTCAGGGTTGAGAAGAGCCCTTCCCCGGGTCAAGATTACACCAGGGACCAGTATGGGGAGGGTGGTCAGGCCTCTGTGATAAACTCTTCTGGGACCTACTGTCCAGTTCATAGGGTGTTGGACACCCTCCACTGCATGCAGTCCATGGATCCTGCAGGCTGCCTTGCTAATGGCTCAGATGGAAGACTGAGGTTTAAAAATCAGGTTGCTGGCTGACTGAAGTTTTCGATTAGATTGGCTTGCTGGCTCTTGTCGCCACAGAGAATCCACCATGGCTCTGACATGAGAAGCCTAGAGAGGACTCGACCACGCACAGGCCTTTATAGTCTCTAAGGGGCTTTATTCTTTGGAGGTCAACTAGCAGCGGTTCTCCCTCTCCACTGAGGACGGAAGGCGAGGAGACGGACTGTCACTGCAAGACCAGTGGCAGTTAGATTTCAGGAAAACCTCCTGACAGACCTGAGAATGGAAAGAGGGGCCCTCTGTCCTGGAGTGCCTCTCGGAGTAGAAGCCCCCAGCTTGGCTGGGAGAACGGAGGTGGGGTTATACCCAGATTGGGGTGAATCCTGGCAACTACAGCCAGGATCTGCTGGTACCTGCAGAAGCTCCTGGGAACGGAACTGGAGGCCTGGGCAGCCTGGGATTTCCTGGGTTTTATCTGTTTTCATTTCTCTACCTTCTCAAGGTACTCTAAATATCCTCCCACCCTTTAAATTTGGTGGAGTTCTCAGTGTTAATTGGAAAGTTTCTGTGCACCCCAAACACCTGCCTTTGAAAAAGGCTTCTCTTATCCTTTTTTTTTTCTTCCCTGTATTTGGGGGGGGGTTCCCCCATAAAGAATGCCACAGGCCCTTTCCTCTAACACAAACTCTGCTAAGATCAGCCTTTTGACCCCAAGAAGCATCAGTGCAATTAGTGGGAGTTTATCTCATCCCTGGTTGTTTCTCCTTTTCTCACTCGCTATTTTTCCTCTCATTTTTGTTTTCTTCTTTTCCAGTTCCACCCTATTTCCATGCTCCTCCCCAGCTGAGCATGTTCCCCACGATAGTGGTCCAAGGCTGCTGGTGTGAGGCTCCTACCCCTCCTCCAGTGACAGGGAACACTGGGGCAGGTTTATGGGGCTTTTCCTACACCACCTGGGGCCTTCTCCCACGTCATCATTGGGAGCCCTGCATTTCCCCCGACCCTATAGTTTCACGGAGATTTTGATACATTTTGTAGGGTTGTCTAGAGACATACTGGGACCTCTTCCTACAATTAATAGGGCTTTTTTTTTATCCACTATGATTTATAGGGTTTTTCTGCTACGGACTTAAAAGACTTTTTAAATTTCCTACATATTTATAGGGTTTCTAACCCAACAATTTTTCTATACTGCCTTACAAGTGGTTCCCTCCCCCCAATTTTAATAGGGTTCTTCATAATTGATGTAAAAGCATTCTTTTCACCCAGCCTCTTGAGCTTCCACTTTTTCTACCATCTAATTGGATTTTCTTCCTTTCTGTGCACGATTCTGGTGGGGATCCAGTGTTCCTCTCAGAAGAGAGGGTGCCCCCCCCCCCGGTCTCCAGACCCAATTTAGAGGGAGATACCTGGGTGGCAGCTTCTGTGGAGGAGGAGGGCCGCCACTTCTGTGAAGCCGTCCCCACACTCTGGGCACAAATAGGGTTTTTCTTCCAAGAGGGTTTTGGGCTTTCCCCCTTCTCTGTTGTGGCTACTGCCTGTGGGGGAAGGAGCCTCCCCTTCACCTTCCTGACTAGCGGACAGGGTGGCTGGCTCTGGAAGCGGGTCCTCAGGTTGGGGGGACTTTTCTTGACTGTGAGTCTCCTGGTGTCTGATTAGGGCCAGGCGATCGAGGAAGGAGGCCCCACAGTCTGAGCAGCTGCAGGGTCTGGCCCCCAGAGGACTCTTGAGGTGCTCCAGGAGGACAGAAGAGCTCTTCCCCGCCTCAGGATTCTTCTGGGATTTCCCACCAGCATGGACCTTCTGGTGCTGCAACAGCTCAGAGCTGAGGCCAAAGCTTTTTTTGCACTCGGGGCATTTAAAGGGCTTTCCACTGAGAAAGGGGCTAGGTCCTGCTCCTTCCCCGAGTCCAGTCCTATGATCAGAAAAGAGAAAGGGCTTCTCGTTGCCGTGGGTGAGCTGATGCTGAAGGAGCACTGAGCGATCCAGGAAGCTCTCCCCACAGTGGGAACAAATGTAGGACTTGGAGGAGAGCAGGCCAAGCCTCTGGCTGAAGCTCTCCTGCCCATCAGGCATTTTGAAGGGCTGTCCTGGGGGCTCAGCTCTGCCCTCCGCAGCCCCTGGATAGGAATTCCCTCCAAAAGGGAGCCTCGGGGGTCGGAGCTGAGGCGCTCTGGGGGCTGGGTGCGTGATCAGGCCGTCCGAATTCTTGTAGGGGTTCTCACCAATGTGGATCCTCTGATGTTGCATAAAGATGCCCTCATCGTTGAAGCCCTTCCCACAGACCAGACACTTGTGGGGCTTGGCTGCAGGGGGTGGGGTGGTCAGGGCAGGGTCCCCAAAGCCCAGCAGCGAGTCGCCCTGTGCCCTCCTCGCAGGGGCCTTTCCCCTCTCGTGGATGACTCGGTGCTGCTCCAGCTCGTGAGCCTCCAGGAAGGCCTTGCCGCAGTCGGAGCACACGAAGAGGTTCTCGTCCATGTGCGTGCGCACGTGCGTGATGAGGTTGGAGCTCTGGCTGAAGCTCTTGCCGCACTCGGGACACTTGTAGGGCTTCTCGCCGGTGTGGGTGCGGCGGTGCTGGATGAGGTGCGAGCTGCGGATGAAGCTCTTGCCGCAGTCGGAGCACTTGTAGGGCTTCTCACCCGTGTGGATGCGCTGGTGGCGGATGAGCGTGGAGCTCATGATGAAGCTCTTGCCGCAGTCGGCGCAGATGTAGGGCCGCTCGCCGCGGTGGATGCGCTGGTGGTTGATGAGGTTGGAGCTGACGCTGAAGCTCTTGCCGCATTCCGGGCACTTGTAGGGCCGCTCACCGGTGTGCGTGCGCTGGTGGCGCAGCAGCGTGGCGCTCAGCGTGAAGGTCTTGCCGCACACGGGGCACTTGAAGGGGTCCTCCCGGAGGTGGGTCCGCTGGTGCTTGATGAGAGTGGAGCTGTGGCCAAAGCTCTTGCCGCACTCGAGGCATTCGTAGGGCTTCTCGCCCGTGTGTGTGCGCTGGTGCTGCGTCAGCTCCGAGCTCTGGATGAAGCTCTTGCCGCACTCGGTGCAGCGATAGGGCTTCTCGCCGGCGTGGATCTTCTGGTGTTTGAGGAGGTTGTGGTTCTGGCCGAAGCGCTTGCCGCACTCGGGGCACTTGTAGGGCTTCTCGCCGGTGTGGGTGGCCTGGTGCTGGATGAGGTCCGAGCTGCGGTAGAAGGCCCGCCGGCACTCCCCGCACTTGTAGGGCTTCTCGCCCGTGTGCGAGCGCTGGTGCTTAATGAGGTTGGTGCTCTGCGTGAAGGCCTTCTCGCACTCGGTGCACTTGTAGGGCTTCTCGCCCGTGTGCGTGCGCTGGTGCTGCACCAGGTTGGAGCTCCAGCTGAAGCACTTGCCGCAGTCTGGGCACTTGTAGGGCTTCTCGCCCGTGTGCGTGCGCTGGTGCTGCACCAGGTGCGAGCTCTGCGTGAAGCTCTTGCCGCACTCGGAGCAGGTGTTGGGCCGCTCGCCCGTGTGGATGCGCTGGTGGCGCAGCAGCTTGGACCACTGGCTGAAGCTCTTGCCGCACTCGTTGCAGATATAAGGCTTCTCGGCCCCGGACGGGCGGCCCTGGACCAGCTCCCGCAGGCTGGGCTCGTTGGCCGGGACCACCGAGGGGCTGTTCCACGCGGTGAGGGCCCCCCACTGCCACGTGGCCTCACAGGCCTTGGTCCAGTCGGATGCGGTGGGCACTACCTCCGAGGTGGGGGAATCCAGAGAGGTCTGATGGTCCAAAGAGTTGGGGTGGCCCAATGGGACCGAGGGGTCTTGGGGGGTGGAGGGACTCAGGGAAGGCCCCTCCAGGGGCATCTCTGGCGGGTCCCTGAATTCTGGACTCTGTGATGGATCTCCTAGGATGACCTCTTCTGTAGAACTGTCCTCCTGAGGGCTTTCCTCTTCATTCCCACTCTCGGCACCTACAGAGAGAAAGGGAGTCTCCAGCCCCCGGCTCCTTTCAGAAGGTGAGGTCTAGTCTCTTGTCCCTCCCCTAGGTTTCCCCATAGTCTGCGTCCCTCCCTGTCTAGAGAGGGCCACTTTCTTGTCAGGACCGAAGCCCCCTGTGTCCCTCACCTTTGTGACTGTCATTGGGGCTCTGCTCAGGACTCTGCAGATCTGGGCCCCACAGCACTGTCTCAGGCTCCATTCCAGAGCTCAGGTCTGCAGGGGGCTCTGGGGACCCTAGAAGGGGAGAGAGAGAGATGAGCACACAATGGGGGCTAATCTTATTTTTTATTCTTTCCCTCCCACCACCACCCGCCTCTCTCCTCAATCTTGGACCATTGGCTGGAGTTCCCTCCTGCTCCCTGCAAATAAAGATGCCCCCACACACACAGGTGACCTAGTCCCAGCGCTCACAGGCTCAGCACGTCAGCAGGGACCACAAAGGACTGTTCCATGGGGTAAGGCCCCCCTCACTGCTAACTGGCATCACAGGACTTGGTCCAGTCCGATGGGGCAGGGACTATCTCAGGGGTTGGGAAGTCAGGCAACACCTTGTGTCCTCCGCCCCCTCATTCTCAGACCTTTCTTCCTTTTTACTTGAGCTTCATTTCTCCTCAAAACTCATTAAAAAAGGGACTGATCTAGTGGCCTCATCTGTAAGGTGTTGCAGTAAGTCAAAAGCTAACACGTCTCCAGTGGTTCAAATCCACCATGGGCTCCACAGGAGAAAGGCAGGCAATCCCTTCTCCTGTGACTCAGCTTCCTGTTTTTCTAGGCATCAGTTCTGTACCATCTCCACTCCTCCACAGGCCAGATCTTAAAATCACAACCAAGCACTTAGATGAGTGCAATTAAGAGCTCATCAGTCGTAACCCTTTGAACCCAGACTGGAAGCTGGAGAGGCATCAACACCCATGGGGCAGAAAGCCCTCACCTCACACCTTAATGCCCAGAGGCTGGGAAACCTGTTATTTTACTAATCAGTGGGAGCTCATTACAACTCTAATTGTCCTCCTTAATGGGACTGCTAATTGGGACTAATAAACTTTTCCCATTTGAGCCCCAGAAAGAACTGAGGCTGCCTTAAGTACACAGAGGGTTAAAAAAAAAATTTAAAAGGACACCATCCTGATTTCCTTGAGAGGTGAGAGGCTCTTCAAGTGAACAGAGGAACTTTTTAATTCGGCTCAAGCCAGTGAGTGGTAGAAGAAGCAGAAGTTTAAAACAGTCAGAGGGGGGCAACAGAAAAGGAGAAAAGGCACGTGGACAACAGCTTGTTGTTGACAACAGTGTCCTCAGGAACCTCACCCAGTCCTCCCCATCGCCCTGTGAGGAGGGATATGCTGTCCATTTTACAGATTAGAAAGCCAAGATCCAGGGAGATGGAAGGGCTTCGCTAAGGTCACGGGGCTGGGGAGCAGCAGAGACAAGAGAAGACACTGCTGTGTTTGACCTGCCAATGTCTCTGCGAGAGTGAGGTGACCTTGGGGAGTCATGTGAGACTGCAGGCTGCTGGCAGGAGCTGGTGACGAGAATGGCTCACACAGTGCCTGCTGGTGGTGGCAATGGGCTGGAGAAATCCCTTGGCTTCTATCGGCCCAGCCTAACAGACTGTGGCATTCTCCACTGAAGCTATTTTGAGACATCACCTAGAACCCCTATTCCTTCCCCTCTGTTTAACTGCTCCTGTGTCCCCTGCCTAGGACAGCGCCTGGCATATAATATGTGCTCAATAAATTGTTGTTGAATGAATGAAAGCTTAAGATTAGTCCCTGATACTGGGCCAAACATGTTTGGTCCAATGCCATTAAAGGTCAGTTTGAAAGGGGATGTCAGGAAAGGAACAGGATGTGAGAATGGCTCCCGGATAAAGCTCCTAGCTGTCATCCCAGGCTGAGGAAATAGGACCAGGGATGCTAAATGCTACAACTTTCCACAACCTTTAGATCTTTAAGACAACCTGGGCTTTGGATGAGACTGGCAGCCATGGTGACAAGGTGAAGGAGGAAGCAGCCGAGCCCTGCCAAAGAGCTGGAGACAGGAGTTCAGTTTTAGGAAGTAAATGGATTTCTTCATTTCTGCAGCTACTTGAGCTATGAGAGTGCCCTCCCCACGTCTCGGGGTGGTGGAAGCAGGAACGTCGGCCACATTGGGGGCTGCCTGACTGTTCTGAGGAGGCTGGAAATAGTGTTTGCTGAGACCAAGCAAGAGCTTATGTACCCTGAAAGTCTGGAGAAAGGAAAACTCAGCAGTCCAGGGTAGAAAGGAAAGGGTTAACGGCAAGGAGTAGGAAAGTGGGGGGGAAACGGTGGCAAGACGTGCTCAGGGCCAGCCCAGGCCCCGGCTGCGAACCCACTAGCCCCTCACCATGGCAGGGGTGGCCTAGGGACGGGAATGTCCCTGCAGAAGTGCAGGGAGCGGCCCAGGGTGACCCCAACATGGAGGCAGCGGGAATGCAGCCACCTTGCCCCTGACCCGCCCTGACGCCCGCACCCGGCCGGCCCCTGGACTTCGTCCCCCCGCCCCGGTGCCAGCGCCCCGCTTTCCAGCTTTCGTTGGCGAGTCTGGGCATCC